CAGAAGCAAGAGGCACAGTGGTTCTCATTGTGAGCCTTCCTGGAGCCAGCTGCCTTGCAAATAAGGTGAAAGATAGGTGCAGGATCTTATCCCAAAGGGCTCATTTCTGCTCTTTCTCTCTTTAGTTGTTTTTTTTGGGGGGGTTGTGATTTTTTTTTCTTTTTCTATTAGTTGAACAAACAGCTAGTGAAAGTATGAATATGATGAACCCATTCCATAGCAGGAGAAGGACTGAGCCGCTCCTGAAATCCCTTCCACATCTGCACTCCTGTGTTTATCTGGTCCTAAGCTTCCCAAATCCTTTTGTGTCAAAGTTCATCAACAGCGGCATGAGTTTCAAGTGGATAATCCACTCAGAGCTTCCAGGCCAAGCAGCCCATTTCAGTGAGTTTCAGGATACTCATCCTGCAGCACGTGGTGCCAGCAGGTTCTTATGCTGCCTGGGTGGCTTCAGCAGCGATGAGCCTACAGCCCACTTGGGACAAGTGGCATTCCCATGCTGTCCTCTGCAGCCATCCCTATCGTGCTGTGTCCAGCTGCAGCTCTGATTTGCCACCCACACGTGGCCAGCAGCAAAGTTCCTGGAGGGAGCAGGAGGCACATGGATCCCGAGATGTGGAAGCATTGCATGTGCTACCAGGGACTGGCCAATGCAACATCTGCAACAGCACCAACAAAGTCCCCTCTGTGCAGGCAGCCTCATTTTCTTGTATTTGGAAGCTACAGTACAGTGCTTCTCCCATGCTGTACAAATTGGTCTGCATTTTCGTGAGGATCATCCCAAATGAGTTGAGCATCCAGAGCTCCCATGAAGGTCAATGGCAGCTGCGGGCACTTGGCTCTTCCACATATGGAAGGTGCTTTGCCTTTTCTGCTGCCAAGGCAAGAAGTTAACAGGGAAGCTGAGAGGAGAGTCCATACACACTTCGAAGTGTGTTGCAGCCTGGTGAGACGCAGTGAACACAGAGAGCTCTGCTGGAGCTCCCAGCCCTGCCAAAGAGGTGACATAGCTGTATGCCACTACCACAGTCCTGCTGCTGGAGAGGGTATGATGTCATCATGGCTCTTGACATGGCATGCTGCTTCTCGGCCACACAGCCCATGGACTACTGCAGGCACAAACCTGTTGGACACAGGCTGTGATTTCTTCTCACCACAATTACTCTTAAAGCATATTTTCTCTTTACAGAACTGTTATAAATATTTACTCTCTGTTATACTCCTGTCCACAGTTTTAAGAGCCAGTGGCATATGTTTCCACTGCTCATCTATTTGAACATCTTCTTAGGAACATGTGCAACCAGTTAGGAGACAGCACAAGCTGGGTGACTATGTGAAGCAGTGGCAACAACAACTTGCCACAAGTTTTCATTTTCTGCCTTCTTGATACAAGTTTCCAGAGCACTGACAGCAGTTTGTCAAAAAGCATTATTGTGAAGTGATATCTACAAGTGCTGATATTGACTTACTGTCTGGGCAAAATGTCTTCTTGTCTCCTTCCAACAGAGCTGCACACAGCATGGGCCCTGTCTCTGGGGAGCAATCCAAATCAAGTTTTAAGCTGGCCGCCATCACGGCAGGAACATTTCCTCCGCCTTTTCCCTTGTCCTCTGTCTGCTGCAGTCCCTACTTGCTGCACAATGCGGAGGTCAGCCAGACCCATGCAATTAGAGAGATCGTCTGCAGCTGACCTCGAGCCTGCCAGGCCCTTTCAAGCACGGGCAGTCTTTATCAGCACGGTACAGAAAATAGTGGAGATGTGCGCATAGGCAGGAGGACGAGATTGTTAAGACGTTTTTCTCCTCACACTCCGCAAACTAAGACAGTATCTCTGCCACTTGGGTGAACTTAGGTTATTCCCACTCATATCTGGCAGCCCATGGCTTCCTCCTTCATCTCAACTGCTGCTATTTTTGTCCTGTGATGTCTGTACTTTGGCACTATTGGGAGTGGATTGTGTGTGGATCACTAACTTTTGGACAGGTCAGCCATCTCAGTCTGAGCACCACTAGATGGATACTAATAAGAGGAAACAAATACATCAAAGAAGAGACTCTCTTTTTCTCTTCATATCCTTCTCACAGGCACACTGCTTTCTTCTGCTCTTGTCACTGCCCTTTCTAGCTCTGTGTTCGTGCTCTGATTTCTGTGGACGGTGCCATATCAAGGAGGGGGACAGCTGACTTTTCAGATCTGCTGGAACCATCCAACGGGCCCACGTGAAGCCTCCCTTCTAAAGGGAGGATGCAAAAAAGATGACAGATGGGTCAAACTGCATGCAAAATGTAACAAAACAGAGCCATGGCTGGCAGCGGACAAGCAGAGAGGCTGCAGGGAACCCTGGAGGCACCCATGTGTGATGGTGCAGCACCAATGCAGAAGCTCCAGGGACCAGGCCATGCTGATCACAGCTAGAGGCATGCATGTGTCTCAGCAGCACTGGCACAGCTGTCTCCAGGGACTAATGTGGACAGAAATGTCTTTGCTCAAGTGAAAGTGCTAAAAGAGAACTTGTTCCAGTTTGGCTAATGAGCTGCTCCAGTTGGGAAAAAGCACCTCTTCACTGGTGATCTGGTAGTTAACAAGGGATCTGGAGCTCTGGTCCAGTAAATTTAAGTAGATGAGTGCCAGGAGTTCTGTGGAAGTGTTCTCTGGGAATATCTCCCAAAGCAGGCTGGAAGTCAAGAATTCCCTGTGGGGCAAAGGTGTGCCAGGCTATTGGGCATTTAGTAAGGCACAGGGAGCAGGGTGGCACTTGCAGCTGCTGAGTCAGACCGCAGGGTATTGAAGGATTCACAGCACATTTGCCTGTCTTTGGTCATCCCTGACTTTACCTTCTTTTCTCCTTTTCCATTCCCAATGTAAGTATGACTCACAGCAATGGCAAGGCAGACAGTGCGAATGCACAGCTCCACCCAGCCCAACCCAAAGTGCTCCTTGCACTCCAACCACGCTGCCCTGCAGAAGCTGGAGGTGCCAGAGCCCCTCAGCACAGCCCTCGCCAGGACAACTTCACAAGGTTGTAATTAGATGCAGTGGGGAGAAGCAAACCAGGAGTGCATGGCAAATTAACGGCTTTGCAATTTGCCACTACAGAAACTCAGCAAGGTCAGCTCTGCAGACCAGTCTGGCCAACACCAGCCTCAAGGCTCACTGTGCAGACACCATATGCGACATGCTCTTGAAAGACAGACTTTCAGAAACAGCTTTCCAATCTGTTTTCAAAAAGCGTAACCCTACATTAAGCTAACTGTTTGAATTACTCATCATTTGCATTATCTCAGCAAACAAGAGAGTGCAGAAATGCCGGAGCTCTGGTGCCCAGTTATTTCTGTCTCCCCAGCTCCCGCCCCTGCAGCTTCAAACTTTGCTCTGTGATCTCAGATCATGTTTTCATTTTCAAATATACATTTCATGCAACATTTCAGAGACAAAACACTGGTCACCTCTGACGCTGCTTGTTTTTAAAGCCTCTCTCCACATTTGTATGTGGGACAGTATTTTCCCTGGTGGCTATATCAGAAAACTACATTAGATTTCAATTCTTCCAACACAAATATTTTCCTGAATGCTTCCTGCTAGATGAAAAGTAATACATGGGAGGAAAATAAGAAAAAAATGCAAAACACTCGTGGCAGAGGTCACTGTGCACTTCCTGCATGGCAGAGCACACTCCCCAGTGCCCAGCAGCTCACAGCCACCTACTCCAGCAGACTTCCTGGTCCAGCCCTCTCAGTCAAACGTCACCGCAGCATCAGGTGGATGTACAGCTGAGGTAGCTGGATGCAGAACCTGAGATCATTTTGATGCAAGTAATAGGAACATTGGATGATCGGCCACTCCTGATCCCAGCAGTGCCTGCACAAAACACAACCAGCCTTGGCTGGATGCTGCTGCCACCAGGGTAGGCTCCCAGCCAAACGGTTCCCTCATTGTCCACACTGACTAGCCCAGGATGATGGAAGCTTAGCCAGGCCAGGTGAGCACAGAGGACTCATACACCCATCTGCCAGCAGGATCACTCCAAGGAAACATGCGGGAACAGCACTCACAAGCAGATGTTATCTGGGACTCATCCCCCACTCCACTGACCTGCACCAGTTCCCAGCAGACACTCTGGGAGGCACCAGCTCTCCTGGAGCTGCCCGTAGCAAACCCTCATGGCAACAAGCTCTCCTGTCTGGCCACCCCCATCTCACTGAGCTCCCCATTCATTCACATTCCTATTAGTCAGTAATGAAGAACATTTAGAAAATACATTTCCTCCCACACGCTTCCCGAGGGGTTTGCAAGCTGAGCCATGAGCACACCCAGTGGGGACTGCTGTTCTCTCTGGGGTGAAGCATCGCTGTGGTGCAGGGTCCCCACACAGCAGCGCTGCTCAGGGACATAGCGATGCCAGCCAGGGACCGAGCGCTGGCAGTGCCCCTGGGGGACACAGCTCCCGGCCACATCAGCATCTCGGTGCAGTTGGTGCCCATCAGGCACGGGGTGCCCAGAGTCACCCAGCACTGCAGGGGCTCTGCAAAAAGTCAGCAGCCGGGGCAAGCTTCTGCTGCCCTCCTAATTTTTCCTAAATGTCCGGCCATTTTGCATTTGTTTTGAATTCCTTGCCACGAAGTCATTACGCATTCAGGTGGAGAGGAAAGTGAGCTCGGCGGGAGTCTGACAGTAATTCTGCATTAGTTAAGCATTAGTTGACAGATGTACAAAGCAAAACCATTACTCCTGTCATACGTTGGGCCCTGACTTTCTTTTCCCCATTGTGGTTCTCCTCCAATCAACAGCTTCAGAGAGCCACACAAATGCCGAGACGAAAGCCCTGCAAAAGCTGTTATCGGAGGGGCTTTCAGCGGTAATTAGAGGTGAATGAAAGGGGGAAAAGAATTTTGTCTGGAACACAGTTTGGCAAAGCGTTGCCATTGCGTTTATTTATTTTTAATGCTTTTCTATTAAAGCAAATTCGGAGACAAACATTTCTGAACACACACACCATTTACAGCAGGCACACCAGAATTGATGTTCACAAACTTCAGGTTGCTGAATATTAATCAAATTTGAATTTATTTGAAATTCAGTCCATTAATAATGATACTGTGAAACCACAAGAATTCCCTAGAAAATTTGGCTTCCAAATAGCTTTTACTAAACCACTTACTACATTCTAATTACTATTAATAGCGAAAGAAATTTACAAAGAGATCACTAGGTACCTTGCATTGAAGCAGCCAGGATCCATAACTGCTTAAAAAGATTGATGCTTTTCTGCAGAGCAACTTTAAAACACACTAAATATGTAGGAAATTAAATATGTAGGAAATCAATGTAAATTACAGTTTCCTATCATTACTGTTGTTGGGTGCAAAATCAAAGTTATGTGGAGCAAATAATTTGGTAGTGTTTCTGGGCAGCTCCATCATGAGCCTGCCCAAATGCCTCCCACCACCTCACAGACTTTCTGGTTCAGAAATACATTCAAGGCTGTTAAGAAGAAATTTTCATGCAGATGAATGATACTGGTGTCTCGGACAAGACTGTTCTACCACGTTCTATGTAATTCCAAATTAAACCCAGGAACCTACACAGCATGTTAAAAAGTGCATAAAGATATCATAAGACAAAAGCAGACAGCCATCTATTCTTGGTTCTTATCAAGATGATGCCCATTTTAAAAGCTTGTGCATGAACAAATGGAACAGCACAGGTAAAACAGGACCCACCCTCCTTGTACATCAGTGTGCATACGTACTCCCACAAATCCAGCAAACAAGGTTCATGAAGAATCAAGATGTTCCCCCCCATAATCTTGATCAGACTCAAGTTGAGTATTAGTCAAACACGTGAACAAGATCTGCTAAAGTCACACTATGCCAAACTCCTGCTATCAGCTCACACTGTCTGCCCTCATACAAACACTGTTGTGGGTTTCAGCTCACTCCCTCCCTGAGGACAATAAGTGCCAGCACAAAGATGCTGGCCATGGCCCCTCGCCATCACACTGGACAAGAGTGACAAGAGCCATTTTGGCAGTGGACTTACCCCACTAGGAGCCAGCTGAAGCTCTGTCATGCAGTGATGCCTGGACAGCCATAAGCATCCAAACCCCATTGTGCCACACTGCCCATGGCTCTGCTCTTGGGATGCTTCGTCTCAAAACCAGCAGTCTCAGCCACACCCAACCCTTTTTGGGATCCAAGCTAGCTATGGAGGAGAGAAATGTTTTTGAGAACCTGAAACCTTCAATTTTAAGGTAAAATTAATTTCCAGATGGAGGTCCCTATAAATCCATCATTTCCTTTAGGATTTGTATGGAAAGGCATAGAACAACAGTACTTATAACTGCTGGACTTTCCAGCAGTCACACTGTGCTTCTGATCCAGTGCTCGAAGCCTCTAGTTGCATCTCTATCCCCTACCTTTAACTGCTCACCCACCTTTTATTGACCAGTTCAATATTTCATTGCCTTACACTGCTTTGTTACACCGTCCTTTATTTTTCCCCTCCCAGCTGTTAGATGCTGTTACTAAATTACAAAAGCATTTATTTAGATCACAGAAACAAAGAAATTAGTTTACATTGATCCATGGATGGATTCTAGATACAAAGCACCATTTTGAAGGAAAGGTTCAGTGCTGCAGGAGACAATAAATGGAACCAACTGTTCACTAAGCTCAGGTGAGGAGGAGAAACACCAGATAGGAGAGGCAGGGAGACGCAGGCTGTGCTGTCACAAGCTGTGACTGCTAACCAATGGGGAATTAATTGCACCACACCAGCTATTGCCACACATAAGTCCGAATCATTGGATTTTCTGCTCTGTCCACTCATCTGGATGATTTCTGTCAAGCAGTTAACTCCCTGGGCCCTAGCCTATAGAGAAAGCAAGAGAGGAATCAACGTATCAATGGTGGTTTCAGCAAGTCCCCACAAGGACTTATAAAAAAGAGTTGTCAATTTGCTGGTAAAAGCCTGTAACCCGGAGCATGTCACACCCTTGTCAGCTGGGGTAAGAAGCTTTCCAGTTATTAGATGTGTCTCTTCTGCCAATGTATCTGGGCACTCGTATCGCATCCAGTCATCTTCCAATGAGAAAAATCAATCTCTTAAAACTTAACAGCACAAGGCTTGTTCTCACAGCCAAAGCTCAACTCTGCAGGCTTTAATAGGCTCCCAGTATATTCCCAAATCCTCCCTGAAATATGGACTCAAAACAGGCAATTTTATTTTTTCTCTGAAAACAGCACTAATAAAAACCTTCTCCCTTCTGCTAAAAGAACCAAAAGAAAGACATGCAAGGCTTGTATTTTTCTTTCACTGCAACTCAGTCTTAAAGCCACATCTCCAAAGCAGCATCTCCCTCCTGAAACACAACTTGCCTTCTTTGTACTCAGATACACAGCAAGAGCCAACTCCTAAGACATCCATGTTTGCAAACTGAGTCTGCTGAGCCAGACAGAAGCAAAGCCTTAGTTATTTACTACCTCTGAGCTTTGCTGCTTGGAACTTTTGCCAGAAGAAGGGTTTCTGTCACTAAGAAGTGCCAACCTATAACACACAGACTGTGCTCAACCTCTGGCAGACCGACTCCTTCTGTCCACAGCCTGTGTCTGGATCAGACCATTCTATACAGCTGTCAGTGGCAAAAATTTCAGTAAGGTTTAAAGCAAGGACTTAACAGCGCACAGTGAAAGATGAAGATTGGAATCTCACAGCTTCCATAGGAAACACACTATACGCTGCTGCAGTTTCAGTGAAGCTCACAAGAGGCAGCAGATACATTTCCAATAATTTCTACTTCCACTCATCCCATCTGTACGTTTGTCTTGCCTCAGCACATCTAATTACATTACACAAATCACACAGACGAGCACTACTCTTTCCTCCAGAAGTCAGACTGAAGACCCAAGCAGATGTTAATAAACTATTCAATTGCTTGCTTGCACTGAACTGCATAAGAAATTGCTACTAAATAAAATAAAACTGATGTAAAGCAACACAGTGGTGCTTCTGTTTGCTTTTCATATCCCAGGAAGCCTCATACAACCTATATGAGGAGTGCTTTCCAGATGCAAGCATCCATCCAGACATTAATACATACCTGAGCTGGCAGCATGTGGCCCAGCACCACGACCCTCCAGCACCACAGCAGTATGGCACAGCTCTGGTTATGAGACTGTATATCTCAGTGGAGACGTGGCACTCCCGCCACTGACTGTCTAGCTGATAAGGAGCAGTGTGTCATTTGTTTTACCATCCGCTTGCTTTGTTATTATTGCTGTTTTTTTTTTTTACTGTTATCAAGAAGAGAACTAAGGGAGTACCTTCAGTCACCACCCACAACCTCCTGTTTCCTTGGGCCTTTCTCTCATGTTTATCTCTTGCCATCGAGATCATAAGAGCCAGAGGATGTGGTGTGCCCAGTGAGGAGGTCCTGTGAGCTGCTGAGCGCTTTGCTTTAAGTAACACCATAACTAGTTTCACAAAGCAGGGCTTAAAAAATATACTCAAGCAAAACTGCACCAATGGAGAGCTACTCTTGCAACTGAGAGATTACTTCATACATACATATCGTGAAGAAGCCTTTACCTATAGCAAGACTTTTATCCCAGAGCAGGGTGGCAGCGTGCAGGTGATGGGATGCCCATCCTGGCATGAGGCTCCCCTGCCCATCACTAAGTGCCAGCTGGTGAAGCAATAGAATAAAAACAAATACAGGTAAAAGGAACAGCACACTTTTTTTTTCCTGTGCTGGAAATTTGTCTGTATGGAAATAAGAGGCAAAACTAAGGTAGAATTTCCCTCACCCTCATTAGGCTGCAGCAACCACTGAGATCAGTCCTCCTGCAGTATTTTGATACGCTCTGCTTGGGAGAGAGAGCAGCTTTAGCCTCTTCAGGGCCCTCTGTTGTGTTCAATCCCCAAATTCCTGGTGAAATGGCTGCTAAGTAGAATCGTGCTTTTCCTTCCTTCAGTAGCTCTCAAACCAGCAAGACACAGTGCAGCTGCCACCATGGGACACAGAACTTCCCTCTCACCAAGGCTCCTCTTTTCCCTCCTCTACAAACTCACGGGTGGCACAGAGAGCAGCAGACTGATGTGCAGTTTGAAGGGCAGGAGGGTGGTACACTGCAAAAAAGTTAAGGACCATAAAATACATGTTTTAAATTATGAGGTTACCTTCTCCAGCTTTGATTACTCAAACTTCGCTAGACCACAAGAACCCTATGCAAAATCATCTGAATATCAACATCATTTTTCTTTCAATCCCAAAACCTCAAGTTTAAAGACAGGTCAGAGCAGCACTGGTATTTGTCTGAGAAGTATTTCAAATCTAAGCTGTCAGAAAAGTAAATCCAGCTAAAAATGCAAAAGCATAAGATAAAAAATACAATGCATTTAAAATCTGTCACTACAGGTGCTCCAAGGATGGCTAAATCAACCGCAGTACTGGTAATATGAAAAGCATTCAATAATTCAGGCACCCTGGGCCATATGTCAGCCTTAACTACACATGAAAGTTATCTTTCCTTTTTTTCCACTTGATCACTAGAGCAAGGTTCTGGTTAAAATCTCATCTGATGTGTTTTCTTCTTTGTAAGACATGGCTTAGGTCTCAAGCGACTATTACAAAACTGAGCAGTTCAGAAAATAAACAGCATATTCCGGAAGCATGAAAACACTGAACAAAGGCTTGAACAAACTATGCTCTAAGGACGATTAGGTGTCCATAATTTATCTTCCACAGGCCTTTGGTAAGGGTCATGGTTTGTTTACTCTCATTTTCAGGTTTAATATAAAGCTTTAAAGAACAAGAGGCAGACAACTGATAACGTTTCAAGCTCCTCCCACCAGGTGGCTTCAGTGAGGTGGATGTGTCACAGAACTGCACAACTTGTTCCTTCTTTTTTATTTATTCATTTTGAGAATATGAGAATCTCCAGAAACCCATGGGTGATTAAAAAAAAAAAAAAAAAAACACCACACTGTAAGAAGGCAAATTGCAATTTGGGCCCTTTTCTTCATTTTTCATAACACATGGCCTAATACCATTTGCACTGTAGGATCCGTAAACACACTTCTGATGAACTACCTCCCTTCCTCCCTTCACTGTTTAGAGGAGTCAGATGGCATCTGTCTTTGCCAAAGCACAGCTCCGTGTGATTTCTTAAGTTTAATACAGAGACAGAAGACCCACTGCAGTTTCATCACACCTCTTCTTCCATAAGGAAAGCAATATCAGCTGTTTTAAAAGGCAGTTGAAGTTTTGTTTGTTTGGTTTTTTTTTCCTCTCACCACCTGTATGGTTTGATATGCTGCACATCATTCTGCTCTTACACACCCTGCAGTACTATGAATGCCTGTTAGGGACCATTTGCCTCTTAGTCTGTTTCTGAGCTGATTACTTGACTTATACATGAGCAAACATCACATAACCAAAATCATTTACAGACAAATAAGCATTTTAGGTTATAATAAAGTTCAAGACCACTTTTGAGAGTCTGCAAACAGTAGGCAAAATAATCTGAGCTACCCTAAGTTACTCAGGAGTTTTCTTAGAAAAAGAAAATCAAATTTCACACTCTTTAGACAGTGATGTCCTACGGGGCAGATTAGGGTTTGTGGTTTTGTTTTTGTTTTCTTTTTTGGCAGGTGGCAGGTTGTGCAAGTGTTTTCCTTTTTTTTTTCTTCTCATTCTGTTTTTCCGTTTCAAATGCTATTTCTTTCATGCACAGGTACACAGAGTTTAGAGCTTCTCGTTGTTTCATTCCCTCTGATTATTTCACTAAAGTTGTTAATTTAAATTTAATTCTATTGAAATGTCAGCCTCCAAAGGAACACTCCACTTGTCTCAAAACACAGCTGCTAACTGCTTTCACTTTGGTTAGCTTCCTTAAATTTCTTTTCCATTCTTAAAGCTGGAGGTTCAGAATGGTTCCTAAAATAGCAAGGTAACACTATTTTTTCCCTTTCTTTTATGCTCATTTCCACAGGGTGCAGGTATATGCACAACTTTCACCTTCTGTTCTCTGAGGATGCTTAGATTTACCCTCTCCCCAGTGGCCCAGAGGGATCAGGGTTTCTGTGCCCACGTGCCAGCTCTCCTGAGCAAGGGTTGTACATGTTGCAGGGCTGGAGAAAGATGGCCCTCATCGACCCTAAACACAACAGAGCAGCACTCAGCATCTCATTCCCTGCTTGCCAGAGAAGATTTTACACTATGAGAGAGAACTCTTAAGCAAAGTTCACCTCAAAATCTCAACTTGAGGTGTTAGAAAAAACCTTAAATGATACAAGTTATTACATTTAAACCCTTTGGGGGAAGTGGGGAATGATTTTGTGATTAAGGACCTACTATGGGGCTCAGGAGAATTAGTTCAATTCTGGCTTTGAAACAAGCTCCCAGGTTCCCATGGGAAAGCCTCCTGCACTCTCCTACCCGCATGGACACTGGCAAGGTAATTTGTAAGTGCTTGTAGCCTTCAGATGGTGTAGTACCAACAGCCAAGTAAACACAAAGACAGTGAGCTACAATCATTTTGAGATCAGCTTACAAGATGCTGCCACTGTACTATCACACTTATCACCAAACAAGCCAAATTAATATTTTTGAAAAGCTAATATTAGGATTGTCTTGACAAAGAATAAGTTACATTTTTTCTCATGTTTGGGCTGACAGATAGTTCCTGATGGTTTTAGACAATGTGTTTGATGAGTGAAAACAGCAGCAAGGTAAAACAAGTTGACAGGCCTTGCAGAAAGACAGCACTTCATTCTCAAGCAGAGTGCTATCTTCGACAGCTTGCACTGCAGGGAAATTTTGCTCAGTTAAAATCTATAATAGGTATTGTTTCTTGGAAAAATTAATTTTACAGATTGATTTAAGTCATAAAATGAGCAAATCCTAAAAAGAAAGTTCATCTGCCAACATACATAATGATGAAGCAATCAAGCAAACACTATCAGAAAAACATAACACTGAAGTCACTGTGTAACCTAGATTAAGTTCCCTACTACAGAATGCACTGTGAAAGCATCAGACAGCCTGTCTTGCAAAAACGAATAAACAAAACCATTATTCTGATATGCTGATAAGCACACATATCAGGCAGTTTTTCTCTATTTACTACAAGCAGAAACGTATTATCTGGAGAGGAATAACTGCATGCATCAATACAAGTTAGGGGATGACCTGCTGGAGAGAAGCTCTGCAGAGAAAGCTGATTCTGTTTAAAAACAAACAAAAAAGCACAACAGTACAACTTGCTTTTGCTTGCACAGGATGCTCTTAACTACGAGTATGTGAAAACACCAGGCCTTAGCACCTGCCCGAAGTGCACAGAAACCAGCCCTGCAGACAAAGCAGCTTCACCCCACGCCCAGCGAGGAGTGCCGTAGCTGTTAGCATCCACAGTGTCCTACTTCAAAAGACGTACAAGTACTGAGCTGCAGTACAGCTTTCCTGGGTGCATGTAACACAGGGCACACTGGCCTGTGGTGTTACTAAACTTAGCACAAGCATACTACAAAGTAAATCTCACCCTGATACTAATGTTAACCTTGCACATAAGTTGAAACAACATGACAAATTAATACAATTGTTATGGAAAGGTTAAAGTCAGATCTTACTTCTTACTGATTGTCCAAGACAAACATTTTAGATGACATCTGTGGGTTGTTCTAAGCAGGATTTTAATCCGTGACCATAATGTAGGTCACAAGTTCCAATTCAGTATTCATGCCAAGGAACCAGACTCAGCAGTAATATCAATAGCTGTCAAGAGTGCACATGCTGTTTCTTTTTACACTACCATTTAATAAAAGAATGTAGTCCAATTAAGAAGATTTCACAACTTTTTAAAAACTGATTTACCTATTTATTTAAATCATGAGAGCAGTATTTAATTTACAACAAAGCACCATACCCTAATCCTATGCATCTAAGAATATTCATGTTTAAAATCTGAACCGCCCTCACTGTTTCTGCCACGCTTTTGGTTTTCAATGAGCTTCAGTAACTCAAAAGAATTGCAACCAACTTGGTAACTGAAAAAGAAAGCTTTGTGGAACGGGAAAGTTCACAACGGGAGAAGAAAAAAAAGCCTTTCTAAAATAGCCAGGTGTTCACCTCAACCCATACCAACTTCAAACAGATGCAAGGACAGTAGTTGAATCTGATTTCAGACTAAGGACATAAAAGATAAGCTTTATATTCTTATGCTTTCATAACGTTGGAACGAATTCATTTTTAGATGAAGAATAGTATACTCCCCTACTCTCCTATCTTTTCACATAAAGTTTGCTCTGAAAATAGCATGGCTGAGTTCCACTCTTTCAAGTATTATTTGATCACTGCTAAGTATTTGCAAGTTCAGATTTTTCCAAGTCCCACTTACCAACTTGATGTAATTCACAAAGTATTAACCATGTATTGTTCTACTTTTACAAGCAAACATACTGTGGCAAGTGATCACATTAGTCATGAAAACAGAGAATGAAATACTTGGAAATACAAAGGTTCAGTTGTGTTGGAAGACCACCCCCTAACGGTCTAACACTCAGCAATGCAGGTTTAAGCTGAGAAAGGGGTGACTGGCCTAAAACAGCATTCTTGCTTGGCAGTGGAAGAAGAGATGGAATTTTGCTTAAAGTATGAGTGGCACTGTTCGTACGTGGCCTTTCATATCCATGGTAAGTTGTATTATCAACTTAAATTAAAGGACCAGTTTGCTCAACAAGGCATAATTTATACGATCAAGAGGTGAGCAATTCTTCAAAATACATTAAGAGCACAAGTTAAGAACCTTCTCACAAATCCCTTGTCACAAAGGGAAGTTTCCATAGAGTAGCTCCTAAGGTAAAAAAAGCACAGATATTTTAAGTCTACAATAAATGTATGATGTAGCTGGTTATATTTTATCTTTTGGAGATGTTCTGTAGAAATCTAAACTTCACAAATAAATGTATACACCATTCAGTTACTGAACACTGTCAGAGCAAGAGTTTCATTCTGTTTAATGTACTGTTGGATATCAGTAGCTTAAACACATAAGTGTGTGCAATGTGCAGAGTTTTTAAAATTTCAGCTCAATAGCATTAGCAGATGATTGAAATACCCACAAGAGCAATTGTACATTAGGGTATCTGCATATGCTCTTACAGTTCTTCCAGTTTTGTGAAGAAATATATGCAACCTACTTCAGGATGTACATGACCATGAATACTCACATTGACATACTCTGCACATGTTTTATCTTTATTGTCATAATTTATTTACAGTTTACTTACATGGAATCTATCCAGACTCGTATCAGATTTAAAAGATGCTTGAAGTTGTATTTCAGGGGGGAAAAAAAATACCTTGAATCATACCTTTCCTGGTCTTTGCATAGTCACTTACCAAGCTCAAATCCTTCCAATTCAAATATGTTTCCTCACTGAACAGAAAAATGCCTAACAGCTAGAGACACACCATAACCCTCATGGAGCTTCTATGCTAGGTAGCCATCCACCATATCTGTTGCCTTATGTGAGATCTTGGTATACTACTGTTGTTCACATTCAGCAAATATATTCCCAAATGCTGTAACTACGATAGCCAGTGATCTTCCATGGCTGTATCATGATTTACTACAGAGAAGAGAGCACGTTGACTTAATCAAGCTTGTGTTTTCATCTACTTCACACATTTGCAAAAGGATAAAAAAAATACAGCTGTTAAGCCTGTATGTAACAAAACATTTTTAAAATCTTCAGTTGAGTACTGATACAACTTCCCTGCAGCTGCAGAGGTCACTTTGATTTAGCACATGTATATGAATTGCACTGGAAGTGTAAAAGAAAAGTTTTATTTTCTCCTTCCCACTGTCAGAGAGTTGCTAGTCACTCATGATTTAAAACTAAATTTAAGATAAAGATTTCCAATTCCATAAAAACTTTCACAAATGTCTACACTTGAAATGAGTACAATATTATCACAGAATTCATTTAAATTCAGATTACTTTTTTCCTCATTATAGAACAAGGCAGCTACTTTCCAATCAGCAGAAAATGCCTTTTTACTACTGTGCTCGTGATACAGGAAAAGATGCAAAATTTAAGTGTACAATAAAGAGTTCTAAAACAAAGACAGACACTCCCTCCCCCCCCAGATGTTATTCTATGTAAGTGAATCAATATAAAATCCACATGAGAAACATCAATTATGCGATTTCCATACAACTTCCTACCATTAGTTATTATATCTGCCTGCTTTAGTTGCATGTGTGTCACGTCATTCAGAAAGAAGAAATCCAGGACAAATGTTTAATCACTCCATATACTATGAATTATTAGAAATTAATTTAGTGAACAATTTCAAAGCTCTCTCACATTTTAACTAGGTCAAATTTTGTTATCAAGTGCAGTGAATCAGTGTTTTACATTTCTTTCAACACATTAAAATTTTAACCACAGCTCTGAATAGGGATTGTTTTAAGAGACATCTCTAAAGCAAGCTAAATTTACTTCTGATAGAATCTTGAGGCATGATTACAGTGTAAGAACAAAGCACTACACATGACTTTTTAGGAACATAAACCCATTGTTTTTAACTTCTTGGTGAGGTTGTGCAAGACCTGACCCATATAAGGTGACTGCCTATAACTCCAGCACACTCCCATGAATCAAAGAAGAGAAGCTGTTTATATTCAAACAGAAGGCTGTTGCCAGTCTTACACTGTTGTCATTTTCTTATATGTTCTGCAAGTCACAAAGATCATGTCCAGTGTTGTGAGGTATAAAAATCAAAAGCAGCATGTTTGTTAGATCAGATGCACTTTCTAGGATATTAGGAAGCAACTGACCTTCCTTTTTACAGGAAAATAAAATTAACACATTTGCCAAAGTATAATAGGACATTCCCAATTACATATTTAGAATTCCATGTACTACTCAGTTAAACTGTAGAGAGTACATACTTTTGATCTCAAAAAATACCCTATTTTGAAAACTACTATCACATTTCAGACCATAAATATTCAAAACTGCTTTGGCAAGCAGATATGATGAAAAATGGGCAAAATAAAGCTTTACATTATTTATTTTTTCCCAGTGTTACAGACTGGACAATAATCAGCTTTAATTGAATAGCTATTTGTTCATAGCATTATGAAATGTAATTGTCAAAAAATGGACAATTATTTCATTTCATATGGCTATTCTTACATTTTAACTCAAATTCTGAGTGACAGTATGATCCAAGAAAGCCCATGTAAAGATGGTAAGTCAAAAGAAAAACACTTTTCATCACAGGTGAGAGTTCAAGTTGCAAATGGAAGGCCAACCTGTTAAAATCAGGTCAAATGCATGTTAGTTTTGTGCTCAGTACAATGATATTCCTGTCAAGCTGGGTATCTTTTTCATATATTCTTTTAAATAACTCCGTAGTAGTTCATTAAAAAAGTCTCATTGTTAACTTCCTACAAGAGCTGCTACCACAACAGTTCTTAAAGGACCACACTATCCAGTCCCATTCCATTTTTTTTTAAAAAACTGGATGAATATCAAATTAATAACATGAAATTCACTGATAATCTGATTTTAAAGAGGTGAAAATGTTGAGAAATTTTCCTCAAGCTTGAGAACCAAAACGTTAGAAAATAATCATTTTCAGGTAGCTTGATTATGCACTCTGCTTTCCAGACAGGTAGGTTTAGAGTCAGTTTCCCTTACTGCCAACAGAAATAAAATAGCATTTAAGGAAATGGGCAACTAAAAGTATAAAATCCTCAAAATCTTCAGGATTACTCCTGAACAGATAAAACACGTACGTGTGTATTTGGGGGAAAAAAATAAAGAAGGAAAGAGAAGAACAGCAGAAAAGCCCTGTTTGCTCTTAAAACAAAGCATAACATGGAGAAATATAACCATTTCAGAAATTAAGTATCTAGAATGAAGCCTGTACACCACAAAAGCTGGCAATTCAAATCACTACAAAAGCTCCATCAGGACTAGCTGAAGAACATTCACTCTTCCCACAGACTTAATGAGAACTCAGGGGCCAGACACCCACAAGAGACGGTGCTCTGGATTTCAGTCTCTGAAGAACAGAGCCTAGGAATTGGTAGGCTTCAAGGGACAAAATATTTTCCTTCCCTATTAATATTATACATAACATAATATTATTGCATACACCCAGGTGAATACTAAAATTAATATAAATTTCTACTACAGCGCTACAAATAATTTTCTATCAAATACTTAGGATGTTCACAAAACAAAGGAAGTACTGAGAGTTTCTTACCTATTCAGATCTTCAAAATCCTTTGAATAATCATCTTGGGAAGACGAATGACTTCTGACACGACTGGTAAGGATTTACAGTAAAAGAAATAAGAAAATGAATTAGATATGTGTCACCAGAAAAGTCTTTTAAAAACTAAAATAATCCAAAATATTAAGCTATGATAAAAAACACACAATAGACTTTCAAAATTCATTCCTTAAAAATTATATACTTTCAAAATGAACACAAGTGGTGTACTATTACTCCTTTGCCTCTCTTTAATTAAATGGCTTCAGGGAAAAGTGAATAGGTCTTGTTTCTCTAATCTACTGAATGCCTCATGATACACTATGACAAAGTTCAGTGAGCTCCTCCTAATGTTTTTTAATGAAAGTCTAAAAAATATATTGACATCACATCAATCATTACAAAAGAATGCAATCCCAATGGGATGTTTAAAGCCAGAATTCTGCTTACACAAGATCCTTCTAAAGCTTTTGCTTCATTTCTTTTCCCTTGAGTAAAGAGGTACTGAACAGTTTACATTTGGAAGCTCCTTCATCAGCAACCTGAGGGATCATATTTCCCTCTATTTGCTTCCCAAAATAAGATGTGGCACTTGTACATCATTTATATGCTCTAAATTAAGCATGCTTTTGGAATTACAGTATCTAAGCTGGATCTTACGCTGCATTATTAACTTGCCATAAGACCTCAACTCAAGTACATACTTGCCTGTACTACGAGATGTTGTCCACAAGCACAACTTCACACAGAAAAAAGTAACAGTCATGTCTTTCTGCTTTTTCCTCTTTTTATATTTCCATAGCATAATTGTGAGAATTCTCCAAAACAGAACTATGTTGTGTTCTATTTGTACTAACTGTTGGACTTCCCAAAGATCCCATGTTCTAGGATAAGTGATGTACAGAAAGTGATGTAAAACATGATCTAATGCAAGTATTAACACAAGCAAATATGGCAGGGAAGGGGTGTTGTCACGTTTTTGTTTGTTTGTTTGTTTTAAAGAAGGCCTGATAGCCTAACTGAGCACAAATAATTCAAGGGAAAGAATCCATTTAGCTTCTAGGAACATTATATTTTTATTGAAAGATGATTGACTGAAAGCCTCTAGAGAAATTATCTCCTACTTCTCTGGAATAACTGCAATACAACAGAAAAAAGCAATGAAAGCCCTTACCAGAGAAATCATGTAATTTCTGAATACGCTCTTTTGGAAGCAGGTAAAGAACAATGTGAGAGACAATGAACGATAACCAGACTTGAGTGGGTTTGGTCATTTTGTTTGTTTTTATTAAAGAGTATCTGTGCTTGGAATGAATCTATTTTGCAAAAGTGGTATCAAATATTAAGAGTACAGGACAAGCAGATGGCCAAATACAACCAACCCTCAAAGCAGCTGCTGCAAATAGGATCTCAGGTTGAAGAGAAGTATGTCCAATGGTTGGGAAACAGTAAGAAATACAGCATGTCCTGGCAAAGCCACAGAGTATATGGCCCATATTTTCAGAAGTTAACAAACTTCTTACTCCTGAGTAAAGCTATAAGCAGAGGAGCTCAAGGGATTGACCAGGTGCCAACCTTCCGGATGCTGTCAGCCATATGAATATGGTTGTAAAAACACCAGTACCTGTCCAGTGATGCTCCACATCCATCACAGCTGCTGTTTGCACCTCTGGGCTATGCTACTCAGTGGCAGCTGCCAACCAAGCAGGGAGATGGGGACACCTACAGATGGAGAATTATCAGGCAGGCAGGAACAGTGGTCTCACCTCCTCTCTTGGTCAACCAAGAGCAAGAACATAGAACTTCAGTATTCAAAAGGTAAGAAACAAGTTTTGCTTTCAGCCTCAGACCTTCACTTTGACAAGAATGGTTTGGTTTTCCTATGAGTCTTTATTATGGGGTAATATCTTTGTCACAATTCTAATATTTTTAAACAAACTACCCTTATTCTAATCACTTTTCAAAGTTGAAAGTCAGTAAGAACACAACTCTGCTACTCAGCATTATCCTATGAGGAAAGACATTCAAAGAGCTAAGGTACCCCTCAAAAAAGGAAAAAGCAGATAAATAGATGGCTTTCCTGGTAGCTGACTTCTGGGCATTGTTTTTTGCTTATTTGTTTTAGAAAACCAAACACAAAACTGGGAGATCATAAGGTGAGAAAACAGTATTTGGGAATTATTAAATGAGGAGGATTAGAAATTGAAAAATTGAATAAATACGATTCAAGACTGAACAGACATTCTGTCATGGTACAAAAACATGACAAAAAAGGCTTCGTGAAGCTGCTGAGGGAACTTTGTTTAATCTGATACCATATTCCTAATATCCAAAGATTCACTATTTCATATACATCTTCATATCAATTCTGTTACGTATTTACTCCAGAACATATGGAATACACCTGGATCTATGTCTGAACTGAAAGTCAAGAAAGTATGGGGATTAAATAATATTGAAGACAAACAGCAAAGAAAAGACAGCATGGCTTACTAAAACACTGTGCTAATTACAGAGCGGTTCTTGCACATCATGCTTTTAAGCTACTTTATGTGTTAAGAGAAATGATAAAAGTTATCTTGGATGTAAGGGGCCTTCTCTCTGAAACACCATAGGAGATGGGAAAGGAAGTTGTACTACTGCCCTAAGTACCCAGAAGTTCTTATGTACTACTGGGTACTTAGGGCAGTAGTACAACTTCCTTTCTCACTCATTTCTGTTCCAGAAAAAGAAGTTGTAATAGCTTTATAGAGAACTGCAATTCAGGCACTGTTTAGCATCTCAAGCCAAAGCTTCCCATGTTCAAGTCTCAAACTATAATTCTAAGAATGAAAAATGAGTCTTCTATTATATCACGGCATAAATTACATTTTGTAGAGAATCCTGTGATTTTGCTCAGATGTCCAACCAAAAGGCTTCCTCTTTTCTACTGAAGCTGCTGCAAATTGACAAAGTTGTTCTTCCAGGATAAACTTCAGAAGGTAATGAAGACTAAAATTATTCTGATGAGAATTTTTTTGTTGACTAAGCCAAGAAATTCTGAATATGGATTTTCTAATAAAAATATAGTTCTCTCTATATATAACACTTCTCATAGAAAATGGGATTGAATGAAGGATAAGGAGACAATTTTATGGTAAGATTTTAAGCTCCCAAAAATATAATTAAAAAAGGAATATAAAGCATATAAACAATATCCTCATATCTAAGTGTAAGTTAGGATAACAATTACCAAGGTTGGGAGATATTTCCTGCAATAAATTCACGTATAAAAATACCAGATCAGTACATTCAAAAAGATTGTGTTAACATAGTATCTCTGAAATAACGTGATGCCTCAAGAGGGATGGATTGTTTGAGAAACATAAGCAGGAGAAGAGATTGCATAGAGGAAAATGTGCAGAACAAGGCTGGAAATGCAAGCAAAGTAAGAAACAAGTGACCCATCCTAATTATCTCTGATAGCAGATGCTGCTAACAGATGCTCTCACATTGTGCTGAAAGTACAGCTGTAAAACCAGAAATAGATATGAAAGATGCTAAGCTCAAAGATGTATCCCCTGCATCTCAAAAAGAGATACCTCAGACATCACTCTAGGCTGACAAAGCACATCTCTCCCAGTCACCTCTGCACTATGAAGTAATTCAAATGTATACTCACTCCTTTTGCAGTTAATTTTAAGGCTTTACAGATGTTGTCAGAAAGAGATATCAAGAATTACTAACAGATGTACTAACCCCGAGTAACAGTTCATTCAAGTTATAACTCTAGTGTGATGACAATTACTTTCTTGACTCTCATTTATGTTAGCTAGTCTCCAATCAATGGAATTGTAAAGAGAAAAAAAAAAGTGAAAGCTAGTTGGAAAAAGAAAAAACAGCAATAAAAGCATTTGAACTGCTCAAGTTCTTTATTACAAATAAAAGTATTATAATTGAGTAAGGGGTGTGAACCTCATTGCTCTTGAAACTTCTTCCCTCCCATAGATTTAGTTTGTGTGCCACAAATCATGAAAATTATGAATAAAAACAGTTGTAAAATGTCTGTATCTGTTCAGAAATCAACCTAATAGGTAGAGGAAGATAAAAGAGATCAGCAGGAGAGCCGCACATCGACAAACACATGGGACTATAAATAACTGCATATTACAACTTCCTGATGCTTTCGGGACACTAGAATCTCCACGGGCAACGTAACTGTACTAAAAGCAGCCCAGTTTTATGCACGTTTAATTTTGTACATCTACTTCCTTCTAACTCAGCCAACTCGACTACTCAATTCATTCAGATAGTGAAGTTTAATTTTTCTGAAGTGCAATTCATCTCAGAGTCTGTTCAACCAAAAGTTAACACAAGAGCTTATCTTTCTTTCTTTCTTGTAGTCCTATATAAAGCCATTTCTAAAACAATAATAATTTTTTTTTTGTGATGAAACTTAAGAACAAAACGACCACAAATCATATTTTCACAACAACCTTAACATCCATAGAAAATTCTATAAAAATGAAAAGAAACCACCTTGAAACTGTTTCAGGTAGTTACAGCACCTTTTGCCATCAGTAGGCTCTTAGATTTGACCCCCGGAAATTTTGATCCATGATGACATTTTGATTTCTAGGAAAAACATACTATGTTGATTTCTATTCCAAAACAAACAGGGCAAGTATTCTTGAAGCACCTCCAGAATACTTAAGCAAAGGAGAACTAGGTGCTTGAAAATGAGATTTTAAAACACATTCAGCACAGCTTATACATTAAACAGGCTCCCTAAACTGGGCAGCCGACGATGCCTCTGAATCCAGCGTGCATTGGATTCTTTTTTTTTTTTTTTTTTTTTTTTGAAGCAAGAGTAAAGATGGCATTTGTAGCCTAACCCTTTCTCCCAGAGCTGAGCACCCACACTATCATATTTGTTTATATCAAAACAAAACAATCAGTCTGTCAGGACTCTGCATTTCCAGCGCTATTTACAAAGGCAGTGCAAGTTTTCTAAATCTCAGTGTGCTTCACCTTTGAAACCCAAGCGTTGCTACAGGTGACAAGCTTCTGAAGTTGAAACAGTCACACCTACAGCAGGTAACGAATCATGAGAGACAGCAGGGATGGAAGGTGTATGTTTTAGTACTCAGGAGCGCCCTGACTCATTCAGGTTTTCAAGCATCTCAAAACAAAGACAAGAATCTCCTTGAAATAGCTACCACAGAAAATGCATAAACAATATTCTATTAACAGAATAAAGTCTCCTTTCCCCATTGTAAAAAAGCAGTGCTGCAGTTGCTTATAATAAGCTCCTAATTACTACATCCCAATTGTCTGCAGTTACTCTCTTACATCTGCTTGAACTTTTCTTTGGAATCTGTGGGAAGAGCCAAAAAGACAAATTCTACAGCAGATTAATTCTTTATTACTGATAGAATCACTCTCCAGTGCAATTGTTACTATACTTTCCTCGTCCTTTATTTCAGATTCTTCCAATAACTTCAGAAGCTCAGTCCTACAGACTAACAGCCAGTCCTGCTTGCCCACTCATATAAATGTTATTATAAGCAGAACAGATGGGAGCAGCACAGTGTCAGCTATCACTACAGAATGCACCACAGAGAAGCATTTGCATGCATAAGCATTACACATTTTTTTCCTCATGCACTCAATACCTATTGCCATCAGCATCCAGGACAGAGAACAATGGAATGGCTAAGGTTGAAGGGGATTTTAAAGACCATTCAGTTCCAATCCCCTGCCACAGGTAGGGCTGCTGGCCACTAGATCAAGCTGCCCGGGGTCCCCATCCAGCCTGGCCCTGAATGCCTCCAGGAACAAGTCTTCCACAACCTCTCTGGATAACGTGTTCCAGGGCCTCACCACCTCCTGAGTAAAAAATTTCTTCCTAATTCTAACCTAAAACTCCCCTCTTCTAGTCTAAAGCCATTCCCCCTTGTCCTATCATTATAGACCATGTAAAAAGCCAGCCCCCCCTTCCTCCTTCTAAACTCCCTTCAAGTACTGGAAGGCCACAGTCTCCCCAGAGCCTTCTCTTCTTCAAGCTAAACAATCCCAACTGCCTCAATGTTTCATGTTAGGAGAGGTGCTCCAGCCCTCTGATCATCTCCATGGCCCTCCTCTAGACCCACTCCAACAGCTTCACATCCTTCCTGTACTGCGGGTCCCCAGGCTGGACACAGTACTTCAAAGGGCCTCACAAGGGGACAATCACCTCCCTTGCCTGCTGCCACTCCTTTTTTGATGCAGTCCAGGATACAGTTGGCCTTCCAGGCTGCAAGTGCACGCTGCCGGCTCATGTCTAGCTTTTCATCCATCAGGACCCCAATAGAGGGAAACAAGGCCAGAGATCTGGTGGCTTTCACAGAGAACATACAAACTCAGTTTATCTGCAGCTGTGCAAACCAACTGAAAAAGCAGCCTTTGTATTAATGTCCGGCCCAGGCAGCCTGACACCAGCAGCTTGCCCGGCTGCCTCCAGCACCTTCACAGCTGCACATTTTGCAACAGGGAAACCGTGTTCCCCAGCTCAGGTTTTAATAGCAGGAGCCTTCCAAGAAAAAGAAAGCAATTTGTGTTTTACAAACAAAAGCGCAGCTTACCAAAGATAGCTTGTCTTTAATCAAATCAAGCTGCTTTTATCTGACGACCAACTTTCCAAGCAAAACAAACCGACGAACAGCGAAACACGGGAGGCGGCGTTACGCCGTACGGACGGCTCGGCTCGGCGCGGCGGAGCTGCAAGGCAGCAGCCGGGCGGCAGGTGGCACCAGCGGGAGCGGAGCGCAGGGCATCGGCACGGAGCTCGGCGGCTGAAAGCTGGCGGTAACGCGCAGCCCCGGGACGGGTCGCCAATCGCGGCGTTTAAACTTGAAAAGCTCTTATCTCGGGAAATTTTAACTCAGTTCCCGCAGCATCCCGGGAGGCAGCGGTACGGACCTAGCGACCGTGACTGCGGATCTCGGTACTACAAAACAGACCTACTAAAATAATAAAATAGCGCCGCGAGCACCACGTACCGCTCAGACAGCGCACACGGCCCGCCGCCGTCCCCACACGGCGCTGCGATGCGGCCCCAAGCCGGTAGGCGGGGCCGGAGCAACGCGGCGGCGGACGCTGTGCTGAGGGACAGCCGCTGTGGGGGCGGCCCGCCGAGGCGCAGTTGTGCTGAGGGACGGCGCTGCTGAAGGCGGCCCCGCTGACGGACGGTTCTGCTGAGGGCGGCGGGAAGCGCGCGCCGAGGGGAGCGGGGGAGCGAGAGCGCGGGGCGAACCCCCAGGCTGCTGCCGCGCGCCTCACAGAGCGGCTCCATCGGCTCTTTTATTTCTCATGAACAGGGCACTACGTTTTGTGGCTGCACTCAGAAAACCGAGGGCCTGAGCCAATCCCCCGAGCCCAGCCACTGTCTGTGAGTGAAGCTTAATGAGTCTCGCGCCAAAGCCTCAGCAACCACCGCCACGTGAGGCACAACCATCAACTCCCTCACACGCACACACAGCCCCACGCAGCGTTTCGCACATCGCCCGCCCTCCTAATGACCCACACACGGCCAAACCACGCCCCTTGCCTCCCCGGGAACCAATTAGAACCGCGCTTGCTGAGGAGGGCGTCGGGAGTGGGAGGCTGTCCAATAAGGCGCGGCGTTGTTCTGGGGGTGTGGCCGAGCGCCGCGCGGGGCGGGGCGGGCCTGGTCTGCCGGTGGCAGGGGTGTGAGGTGGGAGCAGGGCCGGGCTGCCGGTAGTTGCCTTCCGCCCTGCGCCCGCCCGCTATGAACTCACTGGAGCAGGCGGAGGGTGAGTACGGCAACGCTGATCCTCGGCGCTCGGTTCTGGGCGTAGGGTGGGCTGCGGCCCTTCCCCAGCCGCCCTTGGCGCTGCTGGGCTTAGCGGACCCCGTAAGTAGGCCCTGCTCGGGAGCGGCGGCGGCTGAGCGGCTCGGGGCGCGTTGGGCTCGCTGAAAGCCGCGCGCGCTGCCCGGCCTTCGCCTTGCTGCGCCACTGGAAGTCAGGGCTTTGTATCCGCTGAGCTGCAGCAGTGCGAGGATGCCAGTAAGCGGCCGTCGGGCGATGTGGCCCCACTTGGGAGCTGCTCTTACGGCACGGGCCCCCGAGATAAGCTTGTCCCTATGCCTGTGGGTGCTCTTTCTAAAGCTCTTGCTGACAGCACGCTTGGAACAGGATTCTTGCGATGCCCTCCGTGCTGCAGTGCCTGGTGGCAGGGCTCGGTGCCCCGCTCCTTAGCTGTAATTGCCGGGCTGGCTGTAGCTGTTGGCATCAATTAGCGCGGTTAGCAGTTCTGCGGCCACAGACAGGGCGCTGTCATCTGCCGTGAACTCGCTGCTTCTTGGGAATAGTTTGAAGTTAGGAAAGTGCATTAGCAATGATTATAATACCTGTTCTTTTCTCCTTATAATCCAATTGCTCTGTGATAGGTTAAGTAACTTAGCAATAGCTTCAAGTTGGAGGAAAGGACTTTCAGGGTGATGTTAACTGAAACACTTCAGCTGAAAAATGGTGTGTTTGTTATTAAAAAGCTTTTTAACTCTGGGTGGAATTCTAGCTTTGACTGAATGTTGTCAAATATTGACCTTGTTGAACAGAGGATTGAATCTAACAGGCAGGGGGTGAAACAGCTCCTTGACAAGTGGTGGTTGGTGAGGATTTTACACAAATTAGGAACATGAACTTGAAGTGCTGTTCATCTCTTAACAACAATTTAAATGGAAAGATCTTGAGAAAACAATGACAATAAGGTGAAGCATCTATTTAGAGGGGGGGGAAAAAAAGAATTGTATTAAGATTAGTGAATTAGTGTTTGCTATGTATCTCTATGTGTCTGTATCTCTCTGTATGACATATGGCATTAAGCGTTCTACAAAATAATGTCATCAGAGCTATGCTGAAACATAGCTGAACAGCTGGCAAATAGCCAACCCCCTTTTTTTTTTTCCATTGCTATCTCAGTAGTAGAACCTAAAGGCTTCTTGATATAATTAATCTCTAAAATACATTATCTATTTGTGTGTGAAGGGGCTGTTTAAGCTACTCTAAATCTAGGTATTCTTAAAGCTGTTTAAAATACTTTGAGTTCTTAACCATTTCTGTTTTCTGTAAGTAGGAATGTTTCTTGTGTTTAATGTAACGGCATCGTTACACTTTTCATCTGGAGTTGGGTGGAGTTATTCTGAATGCTTTTTATCATCCATGTGATGAATGCATTTGTTCTGCCTGTTTAAGAAAGAGGTGTGTGCTGGGGAAAAAAGCAAATTCCTTTAATCTTTTACATCACAATATGACTAAGCAGATGAAGATCTAATTACACTTACAATGTATCTTCCTCAGATCTCAAAGCTTTTGAAAGAAGGCTAACTGAATATATTGCGTGTTTGCAACCAGCTACAGGACGTTGGAGAAGTAAGTTTGATGTTCCAAAGGATAAACTCGATTCTCTTTTATATGCTTTTTAGATTTACTGGTGTGAAACTTTGATTTATGCTTGCCCACACAACAATCTCTACTTAATGATCTTTTTACAGTTTCTGCAGTGTGCATGCACTTCCATGCTCTGCTGCAGGGCAGTAATGTGTTCACCTCAAGTTAAAGCATAATACTTGCCTGGTTGTTATTCAGAAGCAATGTCCTGGGTCCCATTGAGCATTCCCACCACTGTTGAACACAAATTTGACAAATAAAAACTGTATGAATTAAAAGAACAAGTTTGTATCTGGTATGCAGAATGGCTTGAGTAGTTGGGTATAGTCCAGTATATATGTTTTTAAAGCCAACACTGCCAGATGTCAAGATAGAATGAGGTCAAGGCTGAGTTATTCTTCAGAGCTGAGACATTAATGTGTTGTATTTTTTTTTTTTCTGTTTTGTTTTTGCTTGTTGCTGGGCTGCTTTTTGTTGTTCTGCTTTTTTGCTTGTTTCCTGAAAGCTCTTATTGCCCAGCCAGACACCTCAGGTTCTGGAATCAAACAAGACTAGGTTAGATAGTCCTTCAAAATGAGGGTGAAGAAATTGTAGCAGTGAGTCCTGAAGCAGAAAGAATTAAGAGCAGAATTTATTTTCATCTGTTCTAACAGGAAAGCTTGAGGAGGGAAGCAGAATGTACCCTATGCGTGCTGCCAATTTTCAGATCAGTAGTCCATGGTGGAAATAGACTGCTGTTTGCTTCAAAGATTCTGCTGAGGTTTCCATACTGAGAAACTATTTTGTTAGTTTTGTAATTCATATGTAAGAGAGACTTTTTACTGTATGATGAGGGTATTTATTTCAGTGCTACGTTTTTTGTCCTTTTACCCCAGAAAAGAAGTACTCATACAGAAAAGAAGTATATGCTTTAGGTAGATCTTTTCCAACCTTCTTTTAAAAATTAACTTGTTACTGTTTTTGTGTTGTTTTGTGTTTTAACTTTTTATTATCAGTATGGAATGTGCAACTCTAGGTTGTGTCTTTGTGTGTTGTTTTTTGTTCTCTTTATTTTTTTATCATGGTAAAGTATATTTGCATCCATCCAAGCATTACATTCAACAAAAATTACTCAGACCTGCAAGGCTGCCAGTGAAAGCCTCTGAGCTTTATGAATGTGCAATAGAACACAAGCTTTCTCTGCTTTGTTCCTTCTTTTTTTCATCACCTGCTGCTCTCCAGCCCTTTACAGTCTCTCAGTCTCATATTGCTATAGTTTGTGTTTAGCCTTTTTCATTTACAGTGAGTTGATCGTTCTTCTGAACCCATTCTGTATTTGTTTTGTTTCCTGTCTCCTGTTGTAGTTTGCTGGTACTTTTTTTTTTTTCTTTTCTCTCCTTTCTGCATCCACTTTCCTTGCTAACTGTGTTGGTCGAGGTTGGAGGGGAGTATAATACAACTTAGTTGTGCCACTGAAACTGTTGGTGCTAATTCTTCAGGCTTTTTCCTACATAGAGGAGCCAGCAGGATGAAAGCTGAATACTGAATAGCTGGGACAACTCTTAACTGCAGTCTTCTAGCTCCTAGTTTTTCTAGCTGTGTTGTTTTAGAAAGTGTTGTTTCTTCAAAGCATTGGAATGCTTTTACTTGAAAGAAATTAAGTTTTTTGTACCTATACAGGAAACCTGTATGGAGTGTCTACTGTTAAAAACAGTAGAAGTTTGTTTACATATTTTCATTTCTACCTTCCAAGGGGAGGTTTTTCCTCCCTTAGATATGGGAGAAGAAATAAGTGCTTAAGAGCCTCTGTTGGGGGGGNNGGAACAACTGCTTTTGATAGGGGTAAAATATGATACTCACATTCTTGTTCTTTCTTTTATCAGTGATTCTGATAGTGGTATCAGTCTGCACAGCAACCGGTGCTTGGAACTGGTTAATAGACCCAGAGACACAAAAGGTAAAGGTTGTGCTAGTCCTGTATGCAGTCTGCCTCATAGCCTGGTGTTGCAGTTAAGTGCTGTAGTATCTTGAAAGTCAGAAGGCTAAAGATTGTTCTCCCAAGGATCTCAGAGATCACTTCTGGCTTTCAAGCCATCTGGACTAGTTCTGTACTATGTCCTCGCACAATGGCAAAATACTGCCACTTAAGGTGTGTCTAAAGAATTGTCCACTAAGAGCAGTTTTTAATTCGGTGAACTGGACAGCAGCTTTCTGTCTGTGTGTAGCAAGTATATGCTAAAACTAATGAGATTTATTTCCTAGGTGTCGTTTTTCACATCACTTTGGAATCACCCGTTTTTCACAATTAGCTGTATTACTCTAATAGGCTTGTTCTTTGCTGGAATACATAAAAGAGTGGTGGCACCATCAATGTATCCTTTGATTGTGTTTTTTCAACTGAAGGACTTTAGTCATTAGTTAGTGTATTGGTGTATGCTACTGCTGTGTCTTCAGTGAGCTGTTAGTGTACAAATGCTGGCTGCTTTCCTTGACACGGTGCACACAGTATAGCAGCTCGATGTCGAACTGTTTTGGCAGAATATAACATGTCCTGTGATGATGTAAGTGTTAGTGGTTCATTCTCTACACATTTTTTTTTTCAAGATGCAAATATTTCAGAAATAAATGTGAAAAGTATTGTATTTTTCTGAGCAGCACTTATATGCACCTTACGAAATTGTGTGGATGCATGCAAAACTGGAATGTAGGATATTTAGTGTTGTTTCATTTGTCATTTTGAACTTAGCCTGTGAAACTGAAGTGCAGTTAGGCTCAGCGTTCAAGGTCTTAACTTTTTCATTGTTTTCTGTCTTGCAGACTGGAAAACTAATTTTGAAACCTAGGCCTCATGTTCAATAAGGGCTGTCTTCCTTCAGTTTTTTCCACTGCCATGGAAACCAAAAATGACCTTTTTTTTTTTTTTAAGGTAGTATGACAGCAAAAAAAAAACCCCACCACCAAACAGGACTGGTTGTCACTGCCTAGTAATGAAAGTCTTATACAGTTGACAGTGAAAGTGTGCAATATTACTTTCTTGACTATTTATCCAAATTCTTTGTTATCATATCAGTGCTTTTGCTACTTCTGATTACCTCTTTTCAGTATTAATGTCACTTTTTTACTTCAGCTAGAAGAGAACATCCAGGCAAAGTATGTGAATTGGTTATGGAGTTGAACTTGAAAACCAAACCTCATTTGTGTTGTGTATTTGTAAGCTGTTGTACATAGCAGAGTAACACCAGTGTTCAGGACAAAAATAATTGCTGTTTGAATTTTGTTGTCTCATGAACAGTATTGAAAAGAACACATGCCATTCCTGGGATGTTTTATTAGCACACTTACTCATTACAGCTGTCCTCATCTGGTCGCTGTTTCTGGAACTGGTTAAGAGGCTTGCAGAAATACTGTCTGTGCTGGAGAGAACTGGTCTTAATATTTAAGAACTATGTTGAGGATCGCGTTTGTCAAATTGCGTGTGTATATATGTACAGTGCACCAGCCACTTTCCTCGTGCTCACCTGTAGCTCAATGATCTGGTTCACAGCACTGCTATTTTAAGAAGACTTTAATCTTTTAAATATTGTCTTAAATATGCTTGCATCTTCCTGATTGTAAGACTGTACTGTATCTTGATTCACAAGACCACACTGAGTGGATTTTAGGCTGTGATTAGTCTGAATATGAAACTAGGATTGCAAATGTGTAACTTCAGATTTGTTGAAGAAAACAAACAGTGCCACAATACAATAACAACGTGTTATTCCAAGTGTTAAAAGCAGGGTGTGGATGTTACCTGCGTAACTTTCTGGATAGCTCAACCGGCAAGGAATTTTAAGAGCTGAAGTTGTTTCAGGTGCCTTTTAAATTCCCAAGCTCTCAGTTGACTAAAACTGCACAGCTGCTGCAGCTTCTGTAGACCTACCTGCGGGCTGGGCTGGTTGAGGCAGCCTATGGACAGACTGACCGTTAGGGCATCGACATCGGTCCTCTGCGATCCTTCCAGCAGTTCTTCCGCCCGTCCATCGTTTTTAACCGTTGTATATTTTGTAGGTAATGTGTATAAAATAAACGCTTTGTATAAACGGACGTTCTCTTCTTCGTACCGCGCAAGCGCAGATCTGGAGAGGACGGAGCGGCACAAATCGCGGCTGCCGTCTGTTGCGGCCGGGCGGATCGTTTCAGCGGGCACGCAGCGCGTTCCGGGCCGCGGGTCCGGCCGCTCCCGGGCCGCGGGGCCGCTGCGGCGCCGCTCCCATCGGAGGCGGCTCCCGGGCCGCGCTGCGCCTGCGCCGCGTGTCACACGTGGGTGCGCCGGCGCCGAGCGGCGCGGTGCCGCGGAGCCATGGGCAAGAGCCGAGCGCGGCGGTTCCGGAGGATCCCCTTCTCCCCGACCGGCCCCGAGCCGCGCCGCGAGGTGGAGGGCGGCCCCGAGGAGGAGCCGGCGGCCGAGCTGCTGCAGAAGGTGCGAGCGGGGGGCGGGCCCGGGCCGGAGGGGCAGCGGAGGCCGCGCTCGGGCGTGCGGAGCGGGGGGCGGTGGGGGAGGGAGGGAGGGAGGCGAGGGCTCGGCGCTGCCCGCCGCCGTCAAGCCGAGGGCCCGGCGTCTCCCGGCTGCCCGGGGCTGAGCCGCCCGCTGCCGGCCCTGCCCCTCGCGCGGCCAGGGAAGGCGGCCCGGCCCTGCCGGTGTTCCGTGCCCTGCCCTGTGCGCGACTGCTGTCTGTCTGTCTGCCCGGCCGGCATCGAGACGCGGTGCTGGGGTCAGCCGATCGTCCACCACTCATTAGTTTTGGATTGAAGCGTTACAGATGGAAAGTGTAGTTGGAACCTTCTTGTGTGGGTTGCTTTAGTATTGGAAGTAAAAGCCTACTTTCCTTTAGGTAAACAAGTCTCTTTGTTCATTTCACCCAAGTGACCAATTGAGCAAAGTGCTGCTTGATTACTTTTCTGGACTGACTTATCCACTATTTAAAAAAAAAGTACACAGATACACCCATGCCAGGGTGAGGGAGCTGAGAGATCCCATGGGTTTTGGTGAGGGAATGCATTGCTTTTCCACGCTGCTGTTTGGCAGGTGTTATCTTCTCTGTTGCATCTCAGCCATCGCTGTGCCCCTTGCAACCACTCTGTCATTCCCATGGAGTGCAGCCCTGACACCCACCTGGCAGCAGGGCTGTGGGCACAGAGCAGGGCTACTCCAGTTGTCTCAAGGCAGATATCTCTGGCCTAATGCACTTGTGTAGCTTTGGATTCTTCAGGTTTTCTTTGTGGTGTCATTTTTTACGGCACTGTTTCTGCCAATTCCCCCCTCCTCCCCCCATATTTCTGCATGTGTTTTTAGCAACATAAATTAGAGGTCCCAGTGGTGCCAGCTGGCATCAGGTCCGTGCCTGACCTGCGCCCTCTCATTACACACCTGGAACAGGGTTTGTCTGCTCGTAGAGATGAGCTCATAACTCAGGCAGAGATTTATAAACTCGCTCAGGAGCTGAAGGCCCTCGATTCTCCTCAGAACTGTGATCTGCAGCCAAAAGGTCGCATCCGCACGATACAGACCAGCTGTGTGCCCGCTCCCCTGACTCTGTGTCTCCGCAGCTGCAGCACCCCAGCGCCGAGGTGAGGGAGTACGCCTGTGCCAGCATCTCACGGCTGCTGCAGCAGCAGCACGTCATCCCAGCCTTCCTGCAGAGGGACGTCGTCCGCTGCCTGGGCCCCATGCTGCTGGACCACAGCTTGGCTGTGCGTGAGACGGCGGCGGGTGCCCTCCGGTAAGCTGTGGTCAGCGTTCGGCTCTGCAGTGAGGGACTCCTGGTGTAGTAAGAAAAAAAAAAAATACTGTTATGAAATGTTTCTAGAAATTCTCCTATCTGATCCAAACAAATTTATTTTTTCCTAGAAATCTGAGTGCTTGCGGAGGATTTGAAGTCTGTGATGACATGGTGACCCAGGATGTCATGACACCCCTTGTGGCACTTCTCAAAGAGGTGTGTTTATTCTTAGTCTGTTTCTAAACTGATCTAGCCCTTTACATATCTTCCTTTCCAAAGTAGTTCCATTTTTTGTAGCGTTTTTAAGATAGATATTTGTGAGAAGTTTTTAAAAGAGTGTTTCGGTAGATCTAATAGCCTCTCCTTATCTTTAGGAGTGTTAACTGCTCTACGTTTTGAGTATCTCTCACGTGATACAGAATACATTGCTTTTTCATCATTAGGATTTGTTAGTAAACATACACTGCTACAAGTCTTGATATACGTAAATCTGAAACACTACAAAATTATGTTCTTCCTCAGCTGGCAATTTGGGTCTGTGGTAAGGTGTGTTGCCTGGGTTGGTTTTTGCTTGAGCAGGCTGGAGATTTGGGATCAGGAATGACATTTAAGAGTAGTCTGTTCTGTCTGTCAGGATATTTTGCACATCTTTATTGTAACGAGCTTTCTTGGTGAACAGTTTTGTCTTAATGAAAACTTAGATTAGAGTTGAGTAGTTATTTCTTTTGTAAAACAGTGTGTACTGAGCACTGTTCTTTGGTCCAGGTTTGCAGTGCAGTTTGGAAACTGCATTGGGTTCTGTCAGCTGCTGTCTTTGTATGAGCAACTTTGAGCAATACCATCATTTTCTGTATGTTTTCTGTGTATTTTAAATACGAATAATAGTTTTACTGTAGAGCACAGCAAGATATATAGCTGAATAAATCCTTGTGATTAGAACTGCTGAAAATTGCATATAAATTCTACTGGCAAGAAACAGCCTTTCAGGTTCTAAAATTCTTAAGTATTTCTTTATTAAAAAAAAAAAGAAAAAAGTGTTCCTGAAGTCTGAATACAAAGCTAGTACTGTAAGAGTCTGTTTCTACAGGAGAAAACAAATCAATCATTCAATCCCGCTGTGACCCAGTGAAAAGAAAACTAGTCAGGTTTTCTGATATTAAACACTTGATGAGAGATTTCTCAATTCCCTCTGCTTTGAACATTTTAAATCTTGGCTTTTCTCTTGGCTTGTTTTCCAACTTCATTTTACTTATTTGGTTGTAGTGTAGCAATGGACTAGATGCTAACCAGCTCTCCCCAAAGAAACGCAGAGAGATGAACAAAAATTACATTGAAGATATAGCCAACGAGGCTATCAACTTGCTGTGGAATGTGTGGTGAGTTCTGCATTAGCACTGGCCTCTTAGAAAAGATAAATGAAATTGCTGCTGAAAGAGCACGGTGGCTGAAGCAGAAAGGAAGCTGCTGTCCTTGCATGAGCAGCTGTGTTCAGTTGCCCACCTGATTTCTGCCTGTAGCTCCCTACATGTGGCTTACTTTGTCATATGGCGGGTCCACATCTGCAATGCAAAAGTAATCTATGAGAGAACATCAACTTGTAAGTGAAGGATTTTAAAAATACATGAAGTTGGTCATCAGTTTCTTTCCATCAATCATCCTTAGTTGGGATGCTGCTTTCTGAATGTGTTCTGTCATAGGCTCTGTGAAGACACTTGTACAGTTTGAGTTGGGTGGTGCTGGGTGCAGCCTTGTCAGTGCCTGCTGTAATACAGGGGGCAGATGTTTGAGCTTTGGTTCACTTTTCTTACAGCTTACTCCCTCTGCAGGTCTTCCCAAAAGTTAGTATTAAGTGTTGGAACAAACTGCCCTGTAATGACTAAAGCACTAATAGATCTGCATAATTATGTGAGAAAAGAATATGAGTAGCTCAGTTAGTAATCAGCACTGGAACCACTAAATAAATGGAGAGTAAATGCATATTTAAATGATGCAAAACTCTTCTGAAAGTTCTCCTTGAATTTTATTTTCTCTTCATTTTGTAACAGCTGCACATTTCTGGTCCATAGAGAATTTTGTTTTGTACAATGCAGTATTGCAAAGGAGTTCCCTGTCTGTCTGATTGGACGCTGACTTGAGGCTTTATCTGTAAAGTGTGTTTTTAAGGGGTTGAAAGCAGTGCAGGAACTGCTTGCTCAGCACCTTGCATGGACTATGTGGACAATTTTTAGTGTTCTTTCTTTTAACAACAGCTTTTGTAGACACCAGTGCTTTGGAAGAGGAACTGCAGTCATTAAGCGTGCTCTAAATTCCTTCTGTGTGTATTTGAACCCTGTGGCTCTGACCATGAACTGCTGGCATTGCTGCTGATCAAACTAGGGCTGGCTTTGATGCCGAGACAGTATTTTCACAAGTGGATTTCTGAAGAGCACTGTAGGTAGTTAGGTCCTGTGCCTTTTTTAGTTAGAATTTGTCTTGTATTAATATTTTAGTTGAAAAATTGAAGTAGCTGTGAAAACTTGAAGAGATATGAATTCCACAGTTGATAACAGGAAGAAATTTAACACTGTTTTGGTGTACCTTTCTGGATGTTGGGCAGCATTCATTTGCAGAGTAAATGACTGCAGTGATAGGAGAGGCAGCAGCCCAGTCTCTGTCGGGATGTGAGGGTGAAGTCATCCACGTGGGCTGGCGGAAGGCCCATGGCTGTGTGCTGCCTGTTGTGCTCAGGTTGGCTCTGCTCACAGAAGTTTGCACTTGGCCTGATAAACTCCTGAATAATGTGCGTGAGGAAGCAGCTGACACAGAGCAGCTTTCCTCAGAGGTATCCCGGGTATCCCAGCCCCTTTTTCTGTGTTTTGTAGGGTTGGCCATAACTGTGATGAGCTCTTTGGCTAATATGTCATTCTTAAGTAGGTCTTAAAACTATAAATGTGAGAAATACCAAGTATGTGTTGCTTAAAATTTTGTTAGAATAACTTTCCCCTGGGAAAAGTGTTTTATGGATCTTTTTTTTTTATGCATTAGTGAATGCAACAGTACAGCAGTATCCATATTCAATAAAGAAGGGTGTCTGGAGGCTGTGCTACATTACATTAAGAAATTTTCCACAAATGTGGATCTGGCAATTTCAGTAGGTAAGTTGTAAAAAGAAGAGATGGGGTCTAAAGATTTAGGTTTTTTTCTTTACTGTCTGAATGTAACACTGATGACAAATCTACTGCATAATGCACCTGCCTTAGTGTTGCTTAAACTGCACACCGGATATCAGACTTTGAATTCCTTTCTGAACAATACAGTGTTCAGAAATCCAAAAGGGGAATGGAGCCTTGGTGGTTACATGGGAGGAAAAGGTCTGTGGAAAGAAAGTGCTTGAGGGAGGATGTGTCTTTTTTTTTTCTTTCCCAATAGATCAAAGTATATGATCCATCTGAAAACAAAACAAAAAAATCAAGTGGCTCGTATCACTGTGAATGCATTTTTATTAGTAGTATTGTAATTATGGTCTTATAATGGTCTTACATGGTCTCAATGGTGTCTGTGCTTGCAGCACTTTTTTTTTTTTTTATATTAATCAGTATACGGTGCAGAAATTGAATTTCATGTAGCTGAAATTGATTTAAGTTCTGTCTGGCAGCACTGTCCTCACTGCCCTACCTGCAGCATGTTTGCTGAAGTATGTCTGTTAACCTCAGCCACAAATTGTGAAGGATGGTGTCATGCTGCTACAGTATGAAGCTTCATTGCGTATTTTTCCCCTGTGTTTAATTATTCCAACTTTTGGGAGTGCAGTGCTTTCTTGTTCGGAGACTGAAATTTACTACTGGATTTGTTAATTAATTATTGCTTTTTTCCTTTGCTGCAGCAAATTGCTTACAGGCAGTGACAGAAGATAATCCGGATCTCCTTTCTTCATTCAATGCCCCTGTGCAGCAAGTCTTGGAAACAGTGATGCTGTGTCCAGAGAGCACAATGAAGCACATCCTTTTGAGAACACTGATAGCAGGTAGAGTGTCTGGGGCATTCCTTCTGTTTTGGTTGGCACAAAAGGTAAAGGAGGGTGGGAGAGCCGGAAGGCTTCCTCTCCTCACCTTCACATCCACTTGTAATGATGTCCTGACATTAGCTGTAAGCACTGCTTGCATAGTTGGTTCATGAAGTTATTTCTTCCTCTTAGGATTGTGTTTTGCGGTGTATTGAAGTGAAACATAGACCCAAATGTCTGTAAAGAATCATCTCAAATGCTTGATTCTGAATTTGTTTCTGTGGTCATCCATTTTAAATGTTCGTTTGGTTTTCACAAGTCTAATGAGTCAGTAATAAGTAGTACAGGAATTGTTTTGATCTTACCTCAAGTGTGGGGTTTTTTTTTACCTCAGATTTTCTGCCTTGTTCTCTCTGCCTCAACTGTTCAACCATGGTGACTTTTAGAATTGGAGTGCAATAAATGAGTTTAATTTTGAGAATCCTCCGAAAATAATTCTCTTGTGGATTTTAATTTTTTTTTCCTAAAGGTAAAAGTGTCAACATAACTCCTTATAAATACTACGTGTGTTCTTACATACTGGAATTTCCCTGAGCTTGAGGCATGAATATCGGGCAGTATTACATAGCAGTGTATGGAATGCTAAAAAGAAAAATGCAGATCTGTGGAGAAAAGACTTGTGGACTCATACAGAAATACAAGCCATAAGTATTGTAACTCATGGAAGGCTGTGTCTTCACAAAATATACGGCTCTTACAGAGCTGGGATTTGACAATTTAATGCATTTTTATGTTTCAACTATTTCATGTATAGGCACCATCTGGAATATCAAGGAAACCATTCCACCAGGCAGCCTGGGAAACATGGTTAATGCAATCCTGAAGATTTTCTCAGAATCATTAGCAGTAGATGCTGGTGAAACAATTATTCGTATGAATGAAGCTGAAAAAAATAGATTAAAACCTGCTGCAGAGGCAGAAACCGAGGAAAATGTGATTGACATTACAGACAACTGTGCTGTAAGTGAAGATGATGGCATGGAAGAAATATCTAAAGGAAAAGGCAGTGGAGAACTTGACATCTCAGACCTGCTTCCAGTAAGTGTGGCTGGCTGGCTCTGGGAGCTTTGTGTGTTTGAATGGCTGTTGCTGTCTAGTGTTTGCCAGAGTAACTAACTGCTACAGTCACTAATCCCAACTCCCAAATGGCTTGTCTGTTTTAGCTAAGACTTCAGAGCTGAGCATGGAGAATTTCAGCACAAGTTGTTCAAATGTGGTCAAGTTGAGCAACACATAAGGAAAGCACATTTCCATTTTGTTGGCTAGTGGGAAGTGTAGGCTTATCTGATTTTTACCTCTAGCTAGTGCAGGAAGTCCTGAGCCCTGCGTGAGTGTGATGTTTAATGGCTTTAAGTGTTCAGTGGAGATTGCAGAGAGATAGCAAATGCATTCGCTGTCCTGTGTGAAAAATAAAATAGAAATAAATATTTCTGCTAGGACTTCAGGTAACATCTTAGTAATCTTTTCTGTTACAACTTTAGTTCAGATGACATTTTTAAAAGTAAAATTTGATCCCTAGTAGAGATGGTCATTTGAAATATCTGTCAGAGTGATGACAGGTAGATAGATCTTAATGTTTTCTAGAAGCTTTGCTGAGGGGTGAGAAGAGGAATAGCTGGGTTGTATTTTTCACCGACAGTCTAGATGCTTTAAATTGCAGTGAAATGTTGTTTTCCAAAATTAAATTTTGCATCTTTTTTTTCTTTAGTCTGATAAATGGGAACTGAAAGAAGTGACAGCCTTACTGACAGCTCAGCAGACTGCTCTGGAAATCATTGTTAATATGTGCTGCAGCGAAGGTTTGTAGGAATCTCTCCTCCATTGCAAGTGGTGATGTGGCTTTTGTTTCTGGGATAAGTCATGTTTAGTTTGCCATTTGGTGATCTTAGTCTTTACGGTGAATTTGCATAGAATTGTCATTCCTGCCTGATGCCCTCATCTGGTTGAGAATCACAATAATTAATTCTATTACTTATTTAAGTATTTTTCTCATTTAAATAACTTCTTACACATTTTTGCATGTTACTGCACATACCATATGACTTAAAGGAGAAGGCTTTGTTCTGAGTGCTTGTGCCAAAGATATATTTCCTAAAACAGTCCTGCAACCAATTCTTTGTTCAGATAGAGTGCAATTAACAGTCAGAGTGTTAATCTGATACAATATTGAGGTGAATCCTGTTACAGGAATGGGTATCCTTTTTTTTTTTTTAAGGAGAGAATTCTTATAGTTTTGACTGAATTACTGAACATCTTACACTTAGGTACTGCATGTGTTGCAGAAGAAGTAGAGGTGACTTTTCATGAAACTCTAGCAGAAGCAGTGCAGATGTAGACTGTTGAGAGCTCTGCCTTGATGAGCTTTTTTTTTTCTTTTTTCTTTTTTTTTTTTTTTTTAAGAAAAATGCTGGAGGGGGAGTAGGAAAAGAAATAGGATATCTTTTTTTGAACTCTGATAATCAACGTCTTGATGGCTTTTCTCCAAACCCATGAGAAGACAAATAAGTGATTCACAAATTCTGTTTAAAAACAAAAGAAACTGTGCATTTTAGTCACTAACACAATTTGTGAGGCTGATGCAAAAGTAATCATATAGGAGGTAACTTTATGGGTGAATCTTTTCACATCCTCATAAAATCCACAGTAATACCCAGGTATTTGCACAGGGGATTTTTTTTTTTTCTTATGGGAGAAGGAAATTCTTCACCTCATATGTGAAGCTTTTTTCATAACTGTGTTTCTTATCTAATGAGTTGTAATTCATAAGCTCTCCCCTTTAATTGGAAAATCTCTTGTGGGTAAGCTGCATATTCTACCATTCCCTCAGTGTAATGTAAGGTTGACTGTGTTGTATTTCACTGCAGTACTTCACTCAGACATGGGCAGACAAAATTGTAGTCAGAAATAGAAATTAAGAGGAATCCAGAGACAGCTGTTGGTTTAATTTTCAAGTTATTTGATGAATAAAACAGCTTTTGCCGTTAAGCTGACTTGGTGAAAACACAAAGTTTGCCACACAACTAAGGGAAACAACCAATGCTGACAAATAGATGTTTTTTTAACTGTTTACTGGCTGGCATTTGGGAGGAAAAACAGTACTCTCATCCTTAGCAGGCATGGAGGAAGCAGTCAGGAATCAGCACTGTTGTCCAAAGTTCACAGGTTGTCAGCCCTAGTTAGGATAGGATTGCCATCGGAAATGCTCCTGTATTTCCAAGAACATTACAAGAAACCTGATCTTAGCTGTGGGCTGATCCAGTTTCTGCTCTCTGAGCTGTGATACCGCTGCTGTTTTTGTTGCTGAATTGCTAGGTCAGCTAGTACAGTGGTCATTTAAGTTTCAGAGATTTTTTTCTTTCTTTGCTTTAAGATGCTGCTTCTAAAAAAAAAAAACAACAAAACCAACAACAAAAAACTGCTTCCATCTGCAAGAAACGTATTGAAAAGGAGGTGTCAGCTTTATTTGCATGTTTGCTCTTGCACTGGGGCAGGGCCTTGTTGGTAGAATATGAAAGATGACATGTTTTCTCATGCAGAAGGTAGTAACACCAGTGCATTGTAGGGGTAGAATTAATTGGGTGTTACCATAAGCAAAAGACTTTGACCATGTGATCAGGTGGTCACAGCCTAACGAGTTACTTTGCATCATGTGAACAGTAATCATCACCTTTTAAATAAAGTCTTAGAAGTTATTGAATGCAGGTGCTCAGTGCAGGTGAAATACAATAAGAGAGTAAATGAATGTATTTTAAGATGAATGACTTTACCTTTTGCCACAGAAGAAGTGCATGGCTATCACACTAGTCTCTGTAGGAAGTAGATGACACATTGATCTTTTGTCAGACAAAATTACATGGAGGTAGATATTAATATGTATAATTTTGTCACATTAGTTAAATATCCTGACCTTTTAACAGAGGCAGAAATTTCATCCCTCAGTGAAGCATAACATTCCTACTTGTAGACTCTAGAATTTGTGTAAAAACCAATTGTGCACCAGTTAAAATGTAACCAGATCTGAAACATTAGATAGCTTACTGCAAATCCTGTGGATGTAGGAACATCAGTTTAAATGTAGGTGATGGACTTGTGCTCATCAGGCCAAGGCAACTTTTTGCCACAGACACGTTATTTACTTTGTTGAAGCTGTGCTCATTTATATCCTTACTTCAACACCTCTCCCCACAGCTGTCCCCACAGAAAATATCAACCCAGTTTAACGTATATATTTATACTTCTAATGTACTTAAAATATGTGTGACAGTTTAAACAAAAGTGGTACTACATTTGTAACTGTGGCTTAATGGTTCGTGGGTTATGTGGGTTTCATTAGGGCACTGGAACTTAAGACTTAAACCAAGAGCTGGAGCCAGGTATAATTCAGTAGTGGGGTCACATTTACAAATTTTCTTCTGTTTTCAGATCCCTCTGATGATGAGTGGGAAGAGCTCTCCAGCAGCGATGAAAGTGACCTGTTTATGGAAAATTCATACAGTGAGGGCAGTGGGCTGCTGATGTCACCTCTGTGTCTCTCTGCTGAGGTTCACTCGGCATTTCTGAACAACCTCATTCCAAAGAAGGTATTTTCTTTTGTTTCCAACATGTGCTACAGTCTCTCATTTGTGTACAATTTATATCCTAAGTTAGGCAAACAAATCTCTCCACTCCACCTGCAGAAGATGAAATTTATTTAAAGACAGTTTAGCTTTTTTGTTGTTACTTTGGTTTTTGTTTTCTCCTAGAGATGTAGCAACATCTCATGGGTTGTCTTTGTCTAAATAACGTAAGTTGGAATAGAAGATTCCTATGTTTCAGAACCCTTGTGCTTTGTTGTTTCTTGTTTGGTTTTTGGCCATTTGGTTGTGTTATAATTAATTTGGCTTTTTCATAATACAAAGGTTATTTCTTGATTTGGTTGTGAAAGAGATGACCTGCAAAAAGAAAGGGAAGCTTGACTAGAAGCTTGGCTGCCAAATGTCCATGTTAGCTGGAGGAACTGGAAGTAACCTGTGTGAATGACAGTAGTCAGCACGGAAAAAATGCACGTTCCTCTTTTACCCTATTTAATACATGGTGGAAGTACAATATCTGATGCTGACAAAAATTGTTCGTGTTCCAGAATTGTTTTGGTCATTACTATATAGGGTTGTAAATATAAAATTCCTGATCTCAACCCAATTATTAGTGTGATTCAGCATTCACTTGAGGTAAAAACTTTCAGGGCTTTTTGTACTCAGTAGCAGGTAGTGTAAGCTTCATGTTAAGGTCTTTTAAATTTGCAGCTGAGAATTCTGTAACAGAGTTTGTGAGAAGAGAGATTTTAAAAAATGAAAAAGAATAGTAGAGATCTAGAAAATCACCTGATGCACAGTACAGTTGCTGTGTAAGAAAAGCTGTGCTAAACCTGTGTTTCATTGCCCCATCTTTGAGTGATTGAGGAAGATTCTAACATTTTTAGCATGTGAGACTTTGTTACCTTCAAAGCTTTGAGGACAGTCAAGTATGAAATACATTTACTTGAGGTATCTGTTTGTCATTAAGCTAAAAATGCAATCTTCCCATTCCCATGTTTTAGAGAAGAAAAACAAAAGCTTTCTTGCTAAACCTTTCTTTTTCCCCTCCCCAGATTCTTGAAAAAACTGCTTTTCCGAACAGTGTTGCTCTAGACATCTGTATGCACAATCCGTCTTGGAAACCGTTAATTAAAAAGTAGGAATTTCATTGTCTCTCTTACTACTTTCCATATATGCTCAGTTTTAGAGCTCTTAGAAGGACTGTTCATCTTTGTGTTACTTGTAAGATCTGGAAAATGGCAGATCTGATGCTTCATTTTCAATGAAGAGATGCAGATCTTTGGGTAAACCACACACCAGATCACATCTTTACTTAATTCGAGAGCCTTCTCTGTATTTCTGCATTTATTTACAAAGGTCTGCTAAGTGCACTTTTTGTTTTCGTTTCAGACTGAACACAGTGCAGTGTAGAGCTTTAACCTGTCTTCATAGCATTTTGTTGGTGTCAGATGTGGATTGCCTTGGAGGAGCCTCAGCACTTCAGTCACTTGCACAACATCTCTCACAGCTGATCTTTTCTAAAACAGGTAAGGTGTTTAGAGGCTTGCTGGCCTGTCATATAGGTCTAAGGTAGCCACTATGCATGTTAGGTTTTATTGCCATTTTATTAATTGTATTCTATTAATCTTTCAAAATAAGGATACTGAGTATCAGAAACATGCTGACAGAGCAGTGTACAGTGGTATAGTGTGTTTACTCAGATTGAATCTTGAGCAATTACACTTCTAATGCAAGACTGTATTACGTCTATGTGTGCAAGAAGAAAGTCACTAAGTTAGCAGATGAATCTTCCCTTGCTGTGAGACCAAAACTGTTTGCCTGAATATATTAGTGATAATAGCAGTTTTTCATCAATCAGCTGTGTCATCAGAAAGATGGGACCTTTTCCCTTTAAATTT